CTTCTTCTTCTTCTTCTTCTTCTTCTTCTTCTTCTTCTTCTTCTTCTTCTGTTGCTGAGATATTACAAAGAAAATCCTACACATCACATTTTTCTACAAAGACTTCGGTAAATATCTAAAAGTATTATTTCTAGGTAGACATAGTAGTTCGTACCTGAAATCCCAGCCCTTAGAAGGCTAAGGCAGGAAGATGGCTGTGAATTGAAGGCTAGCCTAAGCTACATAGTGAGTTCAAGTAAGCCTGGAATATGTAGCAAAATCTTACCTATACCACACACACACACACACTGAAGCTACTGAACTTCGTTTGTTCTTCCTTCCTCTGTGTGTGCATGTTTGTGTGTGCAGTCTGTACATGTGGGTTCCAGGGGAAAGCCTTGGGCATTGTTCCTCAGGCACTGTGCACCTTATTTTCCAAGACGGGGACTTGCACTGACCTAGAACTCACCATGTACTTGAGAGAGGCTAGAGACGCACCTGTTTCTGCCTCCCTGGTGCTGGGATTACAATATATATGACTATATATAGATATATTACAGTATATGCCGGAGAGCCCTCTCTTCAGTCCACAACATTATTTCTTGGACACAAGATCACACTGTGCCAGGTGTTTCCAGCTGCATTCAAAATGCAGAAGAATATCCGAGACGTAAAAGATACTAAAACTATAAAAACGTTTGCTCACTGGATCAGAAGCCAAAGCTAAGTTCAAACAATTTTTCTTAGGTTTGCTTCTTCTTGTGTCTTAGACTTGCTGCAGGGATGGCTGTGGGCTCCTCTGGCCCACACTCTGGGGTGTTTGCTTGCTGGCGGTGGCTTTTAACTGGTTCCTTTAAACTGCTTACTTAACATTGGATGGATCTGTGCTCTGTGGTATGCTCACCACTGGGGGGCAATATAAAAAAAAGTTCAGTCTCTTTCTTTTGATCTTGTGTTTCTAGTTCCCGACCCTGCTCAAGTTCTGTTGTGATGTGTTCATTTTCGTCCTTGGAAATATTTGATTGATCATTCTTCCCAGTGGTAAAAATGTAGACGGCTGCGGCAGACTGCTGGTGCCCCAGCGTCTTCTCGGCTTCTTTCTCTGAATTAAAACTGCTGGCGTGACTCACCAGCTCCACTCTGTGTGTGAATGTCTCAGCCACACTGAGACATTTGCCACACTGTCCAGGTAGA